TGCATGTCAAAAAGGCAAGCAAACAAAAAGCTCATTTCTACAGAAAAATATTGTCTCTACTCCTAGACTGCTTGAACTTTTACACATGGATCTCTTTGGACTTTCAAGAACGGTAAGTTTAGGTGGAAATCTATATGCATTGGTTGTTGTAGATGATTTTTCAAGATTTACCTAGACAATGTTTTTAAAAGTAAAATCTAATACTTTTCAAGCTTTCAAGAAACTTGCTAAGCAAATTCAGAATAAAAAAAAGGTATTTCATTTCTTATATTCAAAGTGATCATGGGGGAGAGTTTTACATGAAATTTTTGACAGATTTTGTGAAAAAACATGGTATTAAGCATAACTTCTCTGCACCTAGAACTACCTAACAAAATGGTGTTATGGAAAGGAAAAACCAATCTCTTGAGGAGCTTTCTAGGATCATGCTAAATAAGAAAGCTTTGCCACAATATTTTTGGGCTCATGCTATAAACACAACATGTCATGTATTAAACAAGGTTTTGATAAGACCTTTTTCTTAAAAAGACTCCATATGAATTGTACAGAGGTAAAAAGCCAAACATAAATTGCTTTAGAGTGTTTGGATGCAAATTTTTTGTCTTAAATAATGGAAAAGAAAATCTTAGAAAATTTGACTCTAAATCGAATGAAGGAATTTCCTTGGGTTATTTTACAAATAACCATGCATATAGGATCTTTAATAAAAGGCTTAAAACTATAGAAGAATTTATACATGTTATTTTTCATGAATCTTGTTCAGAAGTGCAGAGAAACTTAGTTGATGATGCAAATGAAGAAATTTTAACCGATAAGTTGTATCAGTTAAAACTACCTGATTCAACCATTACCCAAAGATTGTATGAAATTTTTGGAAATTTTGAAGAGGAACCAAAAGAACAATTACCCAAGGAATGGAAGGCTCTAAGGAACCTCTCAATTAAACCTAAAATTGTATCTGAAGCTTTAAGTGATAATGACTAGGTAAATGCAATGCATGAAGAACTGAATCAGTTTACTATAAACAATGTATGGGAATTAGTTCCTAAACCAATATATGTCAATATTATTGGGATAAAATGGGTGTTTAGAAACAAATTGGGTGAACAATTTTTTTTTTTTGAAGAGTTTTAGGTTATATCAAATGGATGTCAAGAGTACTTTCTTGAATGGTTACTTGAATGAAGAAGTTTTTGTTTCTCAATCTCCTAGATTCGAAGATCACATACATCCATAATTTGTGTACAAATTGAAAAAGGTTTTATATGGGTTAAAGCAAGCACTAAGACAATGGTATACAAGTTTGAACAATTTTCTTATTTCAAAGAACTATTAAAGAGGTGTTGTTGATAATACCTTGTTTCTCAAGAAAATAAACAATGAGACAATTCTAGTTCAAGGGTATGTTGATGATATAATATTTGGTACTACTAATGAATCCATATGCAAGGACTTTATAAAGGAAATGCAGGGAGAATTTGAGATGTCAATGATGAGAGAACTCAACTACTTCTTAGGACAATAAGTCAAACAATTAAAAGGGAAAAGTTTTATGCATCAATCCAAATACTATGCAGAATTGCTCAAGAAATTTGAAATGGGCAATTGCAAAGAAGCATCTACTCCCATGTTCACAAACTGTTATCTAGATGCAAATGTCAAAGGAAAACCCATTGACCAAACCAAATACAGAGGACTCATTGGTTAACTATTGTATCTCACTGCTAGTAGGCCTGATATAATATTCAGTGTGTGCATGTGTGCAAGATTCCAATCTGCACCAAAAAGAGTCTCATTTCACAACTGTAAAAAGGATACTGAAATATCTAAAAGGAACTGTGAATGTTGGTCTATGGTATCCTAGTGAGTCCAAATTGATCTTAATTGGATATTCTAACTCAAACTTTGTAGGTTGCAAACTAGACAGAAAAGCACCCGTAGAACATGTCATCTGCTAGGCAGTAGTTTAATTGACATAGCAAAAAGCATGCTTGTTTTTTGAGGAAACTCATTCTGTGATTAGATCTTTGCATCTGCATATTGATTTGATTATTATAGTTTCTTCAAGCATCTCAATTCTTCATTCGTCTCTTTGTATTTTCATTGTCTGGAATTATGGGTACTGCGTTAAGCAACTGGAATTGTGGTTCTCTGTCATAGGTTCAAGAACTGGGTTATAATTATTGGTGTAGATTGATTTTTTACAATCTGTTCTTGTAATCAATTGATATTTAATTAGTGGAACTCAACTGAAATTTGGTTAAGAACTGGATGTAGCCTAGTGGATTGGGTGAACCAGTATAAACTTGGTGTTCTTCTTCTTCTTTCATCTCTTTCTTTAATTCAAGATTATTGTTATTTGGTTCAAATATTGATTGGGTTCTTAAATCTTTGAAATTTATAATTTGTATTCAAAAGTTGTGAAAAGTTTTTTATTAGATCAATTCACCCCCCTCTTGATCTTAGCCTATATTTTTAACAGACTTTACTTTCACCCTCACCATGCTATTGCTGAGAACGATTTTATCAACATTGTAGAGTTTGTGTCTTGGAGAAAAATCATGTTTTCTATAGCACACATCAGGTGTTGTCTTGTACATCCACAATGAGAGCAAAAGTTAGTATTGCGATTAACAAATCGTTTACCAATTTTATTGTCACTGTTTGAAGGAAACTTACGTTTCCTATAACACACTTGCAGTATGACTCGTACATTGACCACTGTTTCTTTGGTGTCAGATCCTACATTGATGAAGATATTGTTTCCTGCAAGTTATCTCTCTTGCTAAGACACATAGGAGAAAAATTTAGAAAGAGATGGTAAATTATTCATGAGAAGAACGAATGAACGAATATTACTGTATTGTTCAAGTTTTTCTTTCAGCAAGTATAGATGAAACAGTACAAGTGTATTTGGATTATAGATACAAATAACTCTCAGCTTAGTAAGATATTCACTAATGTTAAGTTCATCTTACTTCATAGATGAGGCTTCGAATTGTAAATCAGAGACATGAAGAAGATCACCTTGAGAATATTTGAATTTCAAATCCTCCCAGATTTCATCTACTAGATTCATCCATAAGATGCTTTATCAGATTAAGAGAGAAACAAAATGAATAATCTATGACACAACCATATTATTGCATCAACGTCATGCTGCATATGTTCGATTTGACTTTAATGGTTGGGGAGCACTGTCATCAATGAATTCAACTTTTAGTAGTAAGAGCAGTGATCATGGATTTACTCCATGAGTAATAATTACTGGAATCAAGGATAGTTGAGACTAAGGCAATTGCTGAGTTTTCACTCAGACATACAAACAAGTGGTTGTTGACATTAGGAATATGTTATATATTTCCACTCATGGAAGATGGGAGGTGGGAGTGCGCAACAGAGCTCTTGATACCATAATAAAGATATGGGATCAAATGTAATCCCTGTACACTGTCATGCCAAAACTCATAAAGCAGGAAAATGAAAGAGGAAAGAAATATAGGCAGTGAGGTGTAATAACTAAAAAAATCTTTTGTATTTTGGAGAGTAAGATGATACATATTTATAGTAATAATAAAGTTAAAAGACAAAATAACAGAAAGATAACTATAATGAACAAATAGAAGAAATGTGGAGGTGCAATTTTGTACTTAGAGAAAATATGATTCTATTATAGATATGATATGGTTAAGAATTTGCATTAATAATATTAAAAAAAAACAATTAAATACAATTATGTAAGTATTTAAATTCAATTTTTAACTTTAAATCCAAGTATAAACAAGTTTGATAATTTTAATTTTTCAATAAATTTTATACTCTCTCGACATTAATGACTCTGTCGATAGTATTTCAATTTTACAATTTTGTCACTTGTCTAATAATGGTAGTTTTGTAAAACTAAGGTTGGTTTTATAACCTTAATATATTAATTAACTCATTCAATAATTTTTCTAAATTTATTAAATTAATTAAAAATGACATACAGAAAATAAAGGAAATGGAAGCACAATAAATAAGTAATGATAATGAAAATTTTAGTCAAACCCTTGAGGCTGGATGATATAGAAAATGCAGTGTTTTTTTTTTAAGTATAATTTCTTGGAAGGAAAAGTGGTAGTAATTTAGTTATATAGTAACATAGATTATAACAAATATAAAAACGTTTGAAACAGAGATCATCATCTTATTAAAGTATAATATATGTTTGTGATGAAATGAATCCAAGAAAATTTTATAATTTGGAGTTTTGTGGCTGAGTTGCCTAGACAGTTTTGATGTCACCTATGATGTATCTAACTCAAGGCTTATTATTATACTATTGTTATCGCAAGAACTGGCCATTGTTTCAATAAATGAATACAGCTAGCCTCGCTGGTGAAACCAAGAACAAGAAGAAAACCACAAAAACCGTCTTTGTTTTATTTCTATAAAAAAAAATGCAAACTGTTCATAGTGCAAAATACTCTGCATGTGTGCAAAGTGTAGAATATGGCCAACATGGACTTTGCAACCACATTTCACAACTGTGTCTATGATGAGTTTCCAACAGAAAGAGGGTTTTTGTACATAAAATAAAATACCAACACACAAGTTATTTATTATTTTCACTTTTTTTTTCTTTTATGTATGATTGAAATTGATTGGTGATATCCGCTTAGAAGAAAAAAAAAAGCTTTTTTTTCCCACCAATATAAGAAGAAAGCAACAAAGAAAAAAGAGAAACACTGAATGGAGCATTTTTGGCGTTTTCTCATTGATGCTCCGGCACACGGTAAATGCACCCTCTGTCCCGAACTCTCGAGACACACTACAACATGCAATAAAAAACACAAAGATACCTCCTTCTGTCGCTTAACAACCTCGAACCCATCGAATGCTTTTCTCTTCTTCTTCGTCATCCATTCCCACCCTCTCAAGCCAACCTTTCCCTTTTCTTCTGTAATATCTTTTCTTTTTGCAGTTCCTCCCTCGCTACGCTAGTCATCTGGATCGTAACCATGCGAATCCAATCGTGGCTACAGACATGTTCCTCCTCCGCCAACTGCGCCACCGCCACCCACCACTCCACAATCTCACTCCCCAAACAAAAACAACATGCATACGACACCTCAATATCCTCCTCCTCTGCTTCCGAAGCACCCTCTTCCGCCACTTCCTACAACACCACGTCCTCTCTCGAAACCAACCTTTCCATACAAACCCTCCCATCCATTCCCTCTCTCCAAAACCAAACCCTCGCCTTCTCCATCTCCCACCGCTGCCTCAACTCTCTCACCCCACACCCTTCTCGCCCTGTCACCTCCCTCGCTGTCACCAACAACCTCCTCTACGCCGCAACGGACCACGAAATCAACGTCTATGACCGCCACACCTACACCACCCTCCACACGTTCAACGCCCAACCCACCTCCAACTCCACCAAAGCCATCACCTTCTCCGACAACCTCGTCCTCACCACCCACCAGGACTCCAAGATCCGCGTCTGGCAAAACCACAAGACCCAACACCGCGTGTTTACCACTCTCCCCACCGTCAACGACCGTCTCCGCCGTTTCCTCCTCCCAAAGAACTACATCACCGTCCGCCGCCATAAAAAACGGCTCTGGATCGAACATGCAGACGCCGTCACCGGACTCGCCGTTACTAACGGCGCTATCTACTCCGTTTCGTGGGATAGGACTCTGAAGATATGGCGGCTCTCGGATTTCCGATGCGTTGAGTCCGTGAAAGCGCACGAGGACGCGGTCAACGCAGTTGCAGTGTCCTACGATGGGACCGTATACACTGGATCCGCGGATAAGAGAATACGAGTGTGGGCGAGACCCGCGGGGGAGAAGCGGCACGTGCTGGTGGCCACGTTGGAGAAGCACAAGTCCGCGGTGAACGCTTTGGCCCTAAACGACGACGCTTCGGTGCTGTTCTCGGGGGCGTGTGACCGTTCCATACTGGTGTGGGAGAGGGAGGACAGTGCCAACCACATGGTGGTGAGTGGGGCTCTCAGGGGGCACCAGAAGGCGATACTGTGTTTGGTCAACGTCTCCGATTTGCTCCTCAGTGGGTCCGCTGATCGAACGGTCAGGATTTGGAAGCGCTCTTGTGATGGACGGTTTGGATGTCTTGCCGTCCTCCACGGTCACCGGAAACCGGTGAAATCCTTGGCGGCGATTCTGGAGAATGATCAAGCTTCACCTGATAACAGCGTTTCCGTTTTCAGTGGCTCTCTAGATGGAGAAATTAAGGTTTGGCAGGTTTCTATCACGAGTCAATCCAAACATGATGACACTGAAATGGATTCATAGAAAATCTATAAAGGTGATGACATTTCTCTGGTGATTTATTCTGATCATGTTATAAAAACACAATCAATTTTTTTTAGTTATATTATATTATTATTTATATTCTCTATGCTTTTTTTTTTCTTTCTTTATTGTCTAAACACATCTCTTCTCCTTTTATTCAAATTGTGAAAATGGTCTGATTAATTATACCCTAATTTTTTAAACTTAATTAATATTGGCAATGTAAAGTATGAAGGCATGTTTTTTTTTTAAGAGTAATACTATTTATCCTCCATTTTTTTCAATATTTTTACACATTATTTAAAAATTTACATGTGAATATCATAAATCTATTTGTCACACAATAGTGTGTGTATATATATATATATAAAGTGTAAATGTGATTGCATTGAAAAACCAAGAAAAATATTTTGGAATAGACGAATATCGCATATATATAATGTTATCAAGTTTTTTATTTTATTTTTCATTTACTTGTGTCAAAACTCATTATTTTCTGAGCTATTTGTTTGTTTTATGATTCTTTAGCTAACTAAAAATTATTCCTAATGTATTTATTAGAAACTTTCATATTGATGGATAAATTTATATGGCCTATTAGTAATGAAATTATAGAATATATTGAAACTTGAATAAAATCAATATTTAAATATATTTTAAGTCTCTAAATTAGAAATGCGTTTAAAGTTTATATTTTTAGTATAGTTTTAAAATGTTTTTTTTTAATTGAAAAGTAAAATATATCACATATACAGCTATAAAATTGAAACAAACAAAAAAAATAGTAACTTTAAAATCAAAGAACATTAGTGATTCATGTTCATACTAAAAAAGCAAAGCGGAAAAAAAAATAACAAAGAGTTCATGTTGTCACTTAAAAGGTAATTTTAATGGTTGATTGTTTATCCAGTGATGCTTTTAGCTGTTTTTCAATAATGACTCTATATGTTTCCCCATAAAATTTAATGAAAAAAATTATAGTATATAACTTAGTTGTATATATATTTTGACTTACAAAATATTTTTTAAAAGTTTGAATTAGACCTAAATTCACTTTCTCGAATAATTTATTGGAAAATGATAGTTTGACAACCCAAATCCATACAACTCCTGTAAACAACTCTGTTTTAATAGTATAATAATAGTTTTATTTTATTTTTATTTTTATTAAATCAGTCTATAGATTATTATATTAATAAAAGTGAGTTGTTTGAAGAGTTGTATGGTTTTTGGTTGTCAAAATATCAGTATTCTAATTTATTATACGATATAAAAAATATCATAGCAAAAATTATCATGTGACCTGATATTTGATCACTTATTATAAACACTTACTTAATTAATTTTAAGATGTTTAATTTTAAATATAAGAAAGTATATAATAAATATTATATCATTTAAATATATAATAAAATTACAATATAAAAAAATAAGTGCAAATCTAATGACACAAAATATAAGATTCAAGTTAAATCCAAATGCACCTTATATATAGTATACTTACCTAAATTTTATCTCTTAACATAGTTTTATTTCACACTTTCAACAAACCATTAAACTTAATTCATTTATTAAAAAATAATAAAATAAAAAATAGAAACATTAATGAAAAAAGTTTAAAACAATAAAAGTGTAAAAATAATATATATATATATATATATTCAATAATTATTTTAAAAAATGTTGATTAATATCTTATATTTTAATTATTTGTATCTATAATAATTTTCGTTTATTTAAAAATTCATACAATTAAAAAATCATTAAATTGATGTGAATTTTTCTGCAGAAAAGTTTTGGTAAAAAATAGTTACAATTTTTTCTAAGAAAAATATTTCACAAAATTATTACAAATTTATTTGCAAAATATTTTTTTTCAGATGTAAGATTTTCTTTTGCAAAAAATTAATACTAAGAAATTTTTGCAAAATTTTCTTCAATTATATAATTATAATTTTATTTTATTTTCAAATATACATTTGGCAGAATGAAAATTATTTCCTATATTTTTTTTATAAATTTATTTGTAAAAAAATTAATAATATTTTAAAAAATGGTAGCAAAATTTAAAAAGATTTTAATTATTTTTATAGAAAAATAATAAATATTTTTTAAGTAGGTACTTTAAAAATAATTAAAATATTAAAAAGTTATTAAAATATAAAATAAAAACAAAAACTTAAATTTGTTCGTCTCTGCCTCTTGTTTTCCATTAACAAGTATAGAGTTTCTTCTTCCTTCGATCATATTACAGTTCTTCTCCCTTTAACTACTATTGTACAGTTCTTCTTCCTTCTTCCGCATTATCGACACAATGACTTAAATCGTAATGGAAGACGAAGAATATTACAAAAATAGGTATAGCCTTAACCGTCGGAATCTTTAGTATTTTGGTTCTGTTTCATGCGACTTATTCAACTGTCGAGTGTATTCTATAACTTATTCTAGTTATTGTTTTACTTTTTATTACTAGTTAGAATGATAGGGCTCACCGATCTGAAATTGGGTTTGATTTCTGTTGTAGACAGGGTCTGTTGAAGATTAGGGGAAGGAATTTTTAGGGCCTCCATTTAACGAAATTTGATTAATACTACAACCTAGGGTTTTCATTTCATATGATGCTTCTAATGTTTTGGGAATAATGAAGGTGGTGGTTATGTTGTTTATTGAACTGCTACTTTGATTTTGGGTTGCGCTCACTGGGAAGTTCCAGTCCATAACAGGTAAATAAATTAATGCTAGAATATATGTAACTGATTGTGAAATATCAACTCTTCTTTCTATATTCTTGTTTGGACAAGATGTATGAATTACAAGTTATGCTCGTACGAAACTAAATTGAGTGGAGTACGTGTCTTTCAACCAAAGGTAGCAGCTAGATAATATTTAAGTGACTTCATGTAAAACAATAATTTAATCCATTGTTTATCTCATTACTTCCATTCCTGCATCTTTTAATATATTTTGTAATGTTAAAATTTTATGAGTATAACATTAGATAACTTCCTTTAAGATAAAATTCTTAATTATTTTTATTTCATAGAGGTATTATTTTTAGTTGCAAGAGGAAAATATACAAAAGAAGCAAGTAATTTGATTCTAGTGTAAGGTATTATTTTACGCAATAATGTGGTATGTCATTTTTCAAAAGTTGCATGTTCTTCCAATCTTTATATCTTCTCTGTTTTTAATTGAGGGGAACATCAAACACTTATCATTTGATCTGAACTGGCACATGGTAGCTTGTGAACATAACTTAAGTTTGCATATTTGAATCTATCAGCATTACCGGTATGGAATTTGAAGAAAGGAAATTATGGAGATGAGGTATATACATGGAAGAGTATCTACCAATACCTTTTTTTCCATTATTTTGTTTGGTCAAAAATTCAAACAAGACCCCGAACCTTGAGTTAACTTAAGTCTGCAAATGCATAGATAATCCAAAAACCAATTACAAAATAAAACAAAGTTAGGTCTTTCTCCATAGTAATAAGAAATTGGTTCATTTGAAGTATTACTAATTGGAATGCTTTTGAAAAACATGAAACAATATTGTGTTTCCCATTTGACATAAACCAATTATAGTCTATATTGTTTATAAGAATCACCTTTCTTGATCACTCCTTTTATAATATATGGTTATAATTTGTAACATTGATGTTTCTTTTTAGGTTGTTATTTTTGTAAGAGTTTGTGAATATCTTTAAATCTCGTATATGAAGTTTACAGGTAAGAATAATTTTAATTTCTTGTTTAAAATAGTTATATGTGTATTATTAATATTATTTTTTTTATATATAATAATTTTAGGTATTTTCAAGTTAATCTAATAATGGACATATCTGAACGTCGAGCATGGATATATAATAGGCTTCTTCCTGGTCGTGAGGCATATACGAATGAATTTTTAAGTGGCCTTGATGTGTTTATCACTTTTGCTTGTCAACAACCAAGCTTTTTTATTAAAGGAAAAATAAGGTGTCCATGTAAGGAATGTAAAAATGAGAGGTTTTTAATCCCAGATGAAGTAAATGTTCACCTTCTCTGAAAAAGATTTACATCTGAGTATTGGTATTGGACATCTCATGGAGAGAAAATCCCTCATACTAATGTTAATATTGATATGCATTCAGTGTCGAGTAGTAGTCATCCATGGGGTTCTCATAGTGTTAATAGACATGAAGATATGGTGTTTGATGTTGTTGGTCTTAATCATGAGCAATATTTTATACCAAATGAAGAGGAATCTCCAAATATGGAAGCTGCCAAATTTTACAAAGTGCTAAATTCGGCTCAACAACCATTATGGCTGGGATGTAAAAATAGATCAGAGTTATCTGCTGCTATTACGATGTTGAGTATAAAATTTAAACACAATATGTCGCAAGCTAGTTTTAATGACGTCATGAAATTTATGAAAGAGTCAAACCACCCGGAGAATGTTATTCCTTCCAATTTTAGGGAAACAAAGAAACTTGTAGTAGGACTTGGTTTACCGAGGATAAGAATAGATTGTTACATTCATGGACGTATGTTGTATTACAAAAGTGACAGTACTTTGAATGAATGTAAATTTTGTAGAAAACCTCGATATAAGTACACAATGAATGCAAGAAAAATCCTAAAGATGTTGCCTATAAGAGATTGCATTACTTGTCACTAATTACTAGATTACAAAAGTCAACCAATTCCCTTTGGGGATAGAGCCAAGACTCTATCCCCTAGAGGGCAATAAAAAACCAGATCCCCAGGAATTCAACAAATTCCCTGGTGGATCAACAAAAAGATAAATATATCCCTAGTGAGCCTATTGCAGAGGCTTCAGACTCACACCTTCAGAAAGTCGTTCGCCTATGCATAGGCAAGACCTGACGAGTAAAGAGCTAGCATCCCTAAAGGGAACATCAGCTTGTTCAGAGCAAAGAAATGCAGTCAAAAGTCTTCATGTCGGATGAAGCATCCACCTACTTAGAAACATCATTAGAATAAACAAATCCCCAATGGATTCCTGCCTACCTAAGAGGCATTTATCAAGAATCCCCAATAATTAACAAGCTGGATGACTATCGAAAAAGCCTAAAAACCAAAAACTCCCCAACAACCAACAAGTTATATGGCTATTGCAAAAGCCAAAAATCAAAGAATCCCCGGCATGCTAGATGACTATACCAAAAAAGTCAAAAACAACTTTAAGCAGAACTACTCCCCATGGAGTCAGCGCATGACCAAGATCAGTAAGCCGCTATCATACAATTCAGTCCAAGGAAATGACTCAAACCAGATGGGGGTTCGTACTCATCAACAAGTCTTACAAAAGGGGACTCGAACCAGTCTTACAACAGGGGACTTCAAAACCAGATGAGGGTGCGTACTCATCAAGTCTTACAAAAGGGGACTTCAAGACCAGATAGAGGTTTGTACTCATCAAGTTTTACAAAAGGGGACTTCAAAATCAGATGAGGGTGCGTACTCATCAAGTCTTACAAAAGGGGACTTCAAAACCTGATGGGGGTCCATACTCATTAAGTCTTACAAAAGGAGACTTCAAACTAGATGAGGGTTCGTACTCATCAAGTCTTACACAAGGGGCTCAAACCATATGAGGGTTCGTACTCATCAACCACGAGAATAGCTACCGCACCAAAAGGAGCATCCTAAGGACGAGTCTTAGAAAAGGGGACTCAAACCAGATGGGCATTGGTACTCATCAAACCAGATGAGGGTTTGTACTCATCACCACAAGGTCGAAGGGAACACCCTGTGGTCAACTTTGAAGACACCACATTCATCGCCCGGAGGATCAGCTATCACACCAAAGGAGCATCCGAAGGACGACCTGGCAAGAGGGTTAACTCCTTCACCCGCCATTCGGACTTATAGCGCATTCGCCTACAATCGGTTAGTCAGGTGAAGGGGGGACAACTGTAGACCCCAAATCTTGCCTGGTCATACAATAAAGTTTAGAAATCCTCCATTTTGAAGATGAACAAAGCTTCATAAGACCCCTAGTAGTGTTAGCTAGGCTCCATTTAAGAAAATGAGAGTCTTCTTAGAAAATAAAATATTAGAAATTTTGTCAGAGGAACCAGGACGGCCGTCCCAAATTCCAGACGGTCATCCCACCTACTATGCATGCTCGAGACAGCCGTCCCAAATTTGGGATAGTCGTTCCACCTTCCTTAGTGGTCTGGGACGGTCGTCCCAAATTCCAAACAGGCGTCCCACCCTCTTTGATAGCTTGGGACGATCGTCCCAAATTCCCAGACGGTTGTCTCGATTGAAAAAAATCTGGGACAACCGTCCTGGGCTCCTGGGTGAGCAAGCCTTTAAATAGGACGTCATTTCTCCCATTTCCACACACCTTCTCACACTCTCTCATATTTTGAGACACTTTTGGACATTTTTTCACTGTTCCAGAGGTTCGAGTAGTATTTTCGATAGTCCTTTTTGGGTAAAATCGGTTAAGGAAGTCTCCTTTTGAGACATCCACCTCTCGGGAGTTTAGTAATTTTATTGGTCGAAACAATACATGCTTTCACTCAATTCAAAAGCATGGTTGAAAACTAGTTTAACAAGAAAATAAAAGTCTTTCAATGTGATGTGGAGGTGAGTATAAATTTGTCCAAAAAATAGACATGTGACTGAGTTAGGACTCACATTATTGGTACAGGTCAAAATACCTTTATACTACAGGTAGGAAGTTTTATCTACCCCAATTTATCTTATTAATAGATTGTCTTCATGAGTTAATCCAAATCAAATTCTATATTCATTAATAAATTTTAATTATTTTTTCTAAATCTCTTTAATAACCGATGAATATATAAAAATCTGTCAATTATAATTTTTGATAACATATGGATGCATTTTAGTTCTTCAATATCTATTAATAATTATCATTTTCCATAATTTTTAACTCTAAAATTGTTTTTATTTAAAAAAACACACACAAGAGTTCATGCAACTATTTGTTATAGTAAGTATATATTTGTTTTTTTTTAAACAATAAATATTGAAAGTGATTTATGGTAAAATTGAGAAAAATTCCCACACACTCAAAAACTAATGTACAAAAATTACATATATTACACAAATTTAAGAAAACGTTACTAAGGTTTCGTTTGATATATAAAATAGTATCGAAGAAAGAGTGCACAAAAAAACTTTGATGAATTACATGTTTATATTTTTATTATTTTGAATTTTTATATATATTTTTTTATTAATTTAAAACACCATAATCAATTATGGTCTATTAACTAACTCTGGGAGATTAAAGCATTTATAGAATTTGAAAAATGACTGTTAATTTTTTTTTTCTGTTTATTTTTGCTGCTTTCAAGGTATGAATGGGAATTTTCCCTCCATGTTCATGAGTTATTATAAATTTCTTTGACATTTTTCACTTTTCCCTTTGAAAACAGTAATTTAAGGATATATGTAAATATGTTTAAAGTTAATATAAAAAATGTTTAATAAATCTTAATTTTTTTTAAGTTTGTTATTAAATCTAATTGTTAACATAAAAATTAATTAAAATTATAAAAAAATGGGGAATATAATTATTTAGTTTAATCAGATACTAGTTTTCATTATTAACAAATAAATAGTGTTTTTTACAGCATTAACTAATAAATAATTAAAATTTATTAAATAGAACGCTTTTCCATTAATAGTGAAGAGGAGATACCCAGATCCTATAACAACTGCTTAAATTTCTATTAATTCTTACTCCGGGTCTGGAGGCCCAATATTACGATTTTTTCCTTTTTTGAAAAAAAGGCCCACCTGGCTACCAGTTTAGTTGTAGGTTTGGCTCTGTTTCTTTATAAAAGCAGAGGCAGAACCTCTGGATAATCCGATTAGGGGATAAACCCTAGCGCCGCGAGGCTGAGGATTCGTTCATCAGAATTTCTGCATCAAAGACTGCTTGAACTTTCTCGTATGTTTTCTCCTTTAGGGTTCGTTCCTTTCTCATTTCTCGAACTAGGTCTTCTTCTTTTATCGCTTTCGATAGGCGTTGCGTTCTTCGTCAGTTTCGAATGCCGAAGGACGTGTCAACGAAAGCGTATATGAATTTCAATGTCGACATTATTTGGAATCTAAACAGCTACGAATGAAAAGTTGTAGTCTGTTCCGTGGTCGCGTTGTGCCATTCCTTTAATTCAATTAATTTCTTTTTTGTTGCTTCTTCTGGTGAACTCTCCCTTACTGTCCGTGGGGAATGTTCTTGTTTCCGAAGCATATATAAATATATTCTTCTCGAATAACCAGTTTTAAACAGCGTGGTGTAATTTTGTTTAATCTACTACACTATGCTACCTGTCTGCTGGTACATTCAATTCGTTGCGAAGTTTCCGCAATTTTAGTCTATGAAGTTTGAACTATAACGAAGTGTAAAAATGACGTTATGAAGTTATATTTTGAAATTCAGTAGAGCTAAAGATGAGGAATTTAACTTGTTAAAAAAGTAATTAACACTAACATTTCGCTATGGACGTTGAAAATTTGTAGAAATGGAACTGCCAAATGTAACAATACCTAAAGTTGGACAAAAACCCTCGTCGAAATTGAAGCTTCCCACGCCGAAGGAGCTTATATCTCACTATGAGTCTCAGGGTATGGACTCGCAGGAAGCGTCGATGAAGGTCATTGAGGATCTTCAGAAGGCGCTGTTTGGAGTTGTAACCTCTGGCAAAGGTAGAAACGATAAGCTATTGGCGGAGTCCTCTAAGAAGATTGATTCAATTAGCAATAGACTCACTGTTCTCGACATGAAGCTTGATTCCAAGCCTGGCTATGTCGAGACTTTCGCTATTGGGCTTGCCTCGGGCACTGCTCTCAAAGGGATAGGTGCACTCGTGCCTCATATTCTTGCCCCTCTTGCTCAGATATTGAACTCTGTTTCCTCTGCCACTAAGTCTTCTCCCCAATGATACTATAGTTTAGTTTCCCATTATGTGTGTAGTTATTAGTTTTAGTTGGTATGATTTTTTCATTTGAACAAAAAACCATGTTTCAATTTTTTGGTTATTATATTTATTGCTTTCGAAGAAGTATATCACGTAACTTAATGAAGAAATGACTTCAACGAGATTGACATACACCGACCTAGAATAATATGTAGATATCATAAACCTGAATTGAAAACCTAGGTTAAGCAACACCGACCTAGAAATCTTAGTTGAATTCTACACATTCATGTAGTCAGTGAACTGAAATTGTGTTGGATGAAGATTTGGTTGTTGAAGTATTGAATTGAATTTCTTTTAAGCCTATATGTATTTCAAGTCTAATGTATGAGATAACATGAGGTGGTATCTTCATCCAAAGGTTTCAGTTGGCATGAATGCCATACATTCCCTATTATATCCATTTCAAATATGTCTTTAACGCAATAGGTGATGTGTGCAACGTGAGGTGTTTACTCGTTACAGCAGCGATACATGTAGAACTTCTCCATTGTTCGGCCACATTCAGCGCAGACCACTTTGTCTGGGACCCCTTCACTGATTCCTGGAAGTATCAAACGGTTGCAGTGGTGAGGGATTTGGAGTCCTTGTATATAGTCACCCATTGCTGCCAAGATTCCTTTAACTTTTGCTGTGTCCTTCCAATTCTCGTGTTCATTCAGGCACCTTAGAAATGCATCTCCCTTACCCTGTGCCATCCTTCCTGTGCCTTGACTAATTATGGCCCAGCCTGTGTCACCACTATCATATGTTAGGATTCTCATTACTTCATGCATTATGTGGTCGTTCTCGACTGTTTTGCTATGCTGTGATTTGGAGTGCCACATACTCTCTAGCCTAACCCAGAAAAACCAAAATATGACAAGGTCAGGAAGCACGCTACTCAATTTTTCTGCTTGAATGGCGTTGTTGATTTCTTGAACTTTCTTCCCTGGATTGCTTTTCCCCACATAAATCATCTCTAGTGGTAGTTGCAGAGCACTTGCCAGTGAATATGCAGTGCTTGTGAATTTACGGATCCAGTCCATATCGTCCCCTCCGTACAAGCATATATATTTGCCTTCTGATATCTAAACAAAGTACGCATAAGGTCATTGTAGATTCATCTTGGTTCAATGAGTAGAAATTTCCATTGGAATTAAGGTTGCATGCTATACATTTAATTAAATACAATTTTGGTTTTTATAATTTTAAAACTATCTTGGAGTGGTTGTGTAAGATTGACAATTGTGATATGGTAAAATTGAATAATACTATTTATGAATACATAGGTTTCGGTTATAGGACGACACATGTTAAAACTGAATTTCATTGAATATCCGAAAATTATCAGCTCAAATAGAGGAAAAGTTAACTTCATATCTATGTTACATTTCATTTTTTATTAATTTTAACTACCCTTCCCTTTCTGCAGAATGAAAACTGCTAATGTACGGGAAGTTAGTCAAGCTCGGAAATTAGCTTTATACGTCAAAGTCAAACGAATCTTACCGTAAGGTCTTTCATAATGAGATTATTTGTTCCTATTTTTGTGATCTTTTGTCGGACTACGTTATGCTAGAGTATTAGTTTTCACTATCATGTATTTAAAAAGAAACAGGAAAGAATGGAAGGACTAACCCAAAACAAAAGCGATGGATCAATTGTATCTGCCAATAGTGAAAGTCCCCATGTTTCCTGATTCCACAATACTTCCTCCCTTGAGGTAGAAAAAGGATAGGCCAAGCTTCCCCAAATCCACATCATGGGTATTGCATTCAGATTCACAACCTTCCCTAGGGGATCCAACACAACAAGTATAGGCTTCGCTTTGAAAAGCCAAACCTCTTTTATGTACTTGAAGGTTGCCGGCTCCAGAAGATAAGGATCATAAACTGAGTACCATGACATCATTGATTGCAGCATCTCAAACTTTGGTTTCAATTCAGTCCATGGCAACGCCTTGTCCACAACTGGAATCCAAACGAGTTCATATTGACTCTCTAACCTGGTTGAATCCTGACGTGACTCTAGGTACATTTGTTCAAAAATCACAAGCTCTTGATCAGAGACATTATGTAGGTCTGATATGTAGAATAGCACAATTTTCCTTCTCAATACCTCAATGCTAACCTGAAGACAAATATGTTCGAGGTTGGGACAGAATCACCATGTGTAAATCATACCTCAATTTACCAATTTTTTTTTAATTTTGAACTAGAAAATGATTATGAATTTATTGCATAGTCAATTCAAATTGATGTAGTAGTAAGGTTGCATTTATATTATTCTTAACAAGTCTAAATTAAATATCAAACTGATGACTATATATGTTTACATATGATATGCACATCTATTTAGAGTGAGCAGAGAAAACGGATTCAGGGTTAACCCTTTGTTTGGAAGAACCATCAAACAATGGCAACGGATCATCCTTGCTGCAAAACATAGCTTTGAGGGCCTTCAAATTATCTTGGTGGGATGTCTCAAAAAGGACCCGAATTGTTTCAAATACTTCTCTCTGTTTGTTGTCATCTGCATCATATAGAACATGTTCTCAGGCTTAATATAGTTATGTTTTACTTGAAGAAAAATGTTTGACAGTGCTTCTTCCCCGTCTACATATATGAAGCAACTGGGTATTCAGTTAGATTGGCTTACCTAAATGAAGATGACAAAGGGTAAGTTGCTTGCGAAGGTGACCATTTAAGTTATCAAGCTTATGGGTCAAACTGGAAAGCTCCCAAGCCTCTGTTGTTGTTGTCATGTATCTAAAATGAGCTCAGTAAAGTTAGTAATAATGTTAAAAAACAGGCAAGTTTAATTCAAAGTCTGATTAAGGATTTCTTTGGTAAAAGTAGAGAAATAAACAAGAGTTACTAAGATATGGTTGTGATGGTTATAACGTGACATGAACAGTGAAGGTATACCCTTGACCCAAGCCTGTTATGCCTAAAATATGTGATGCACAGGACACAATACTGCGGATGGTCCAATAGACAGCACCGGGGATAAGATTTGAGGCAGTCAACATCTCCGGTGCCTCGGGGTCAATGTACCGAGAAGGAAGCTCGTGGAATTGAACAATGTAATCGGTTACATCCAACATTGCCTTTAAAATGTTATTGATCATTTCGAACTTGGGTCCCAACTCATCTACTTGTTCCAGTGTTTCATGGATGTGCTTCAACTTTGCAACAGACTTAGCCAGACGGTTGGTGGCATAAAGTTGAGCCACCAGCCAAAACTCCCCAAAGTTGGCTGCAAATGCTGCCAACGCTATCACCACCTTGGCATCCCATGAATAGCACGAGAGCATGCCCAGTATTCCCATGGCCGTGGCATGTACATCACCACTCGAACACTTGCAACATATCTATGACACAACATGAATAAGTTAAAAGTAGCATGTTTGTTGGAGACTTTTAAATAGGTGTGGTCTTGTCAATATTTATAAAGAGGGAGACATGGTGTTAAAACTCTAAATGAAGATTAATTCTTGGGATTGAGAAAACCTCGCAGGAAATTTTGTTGATTGTGTGGTATGAAATATCTAGCACCTCAGCCAGATCAGATTGGTGGGTACTGTCCTTCTTGACACCCATTTGCATTGGTTTTCCCTGTGTAAATTTTTAAAACAACACTACTCAGAAAAAAGTTAATTAAGAACCAAAATGCAAAGATGAGAAATTCTTATATGCTTATCATTATTTCGGTTAATGCGCCTGTTCACTCTTTCAGAAGTTGAAAAATTCAACTATATATATAAAAACAAAATTGTCGGAGATTATAGACTTGTATACCTGAACAATGTCAGGGATGAGAGAGGCAACACGGTGAAATATGTCTTCAACAACATTTAGAAGAGGTCTAACTTCAATGTCTCGATCATCCGGAGCATGGGTCGCACGAACTTGTTTAGTCATTGTAGTGTCATCTGATGCTGAAAAAATATGGCGGGTAGCCCTGGATTGCATCTTCCGAGGCACCATTGCCATTTTCTTTAACTGAAATTAAAGATATGCAAGAAAGGAGGATTAATAGATAATGTTTAGAGACAGTGATGGGCTAGCAAATTTGGGTTTAGATGGAGCTTCTAGTTAGAGGCAGTGCCTCTTATATAACTGTTGATGCAAAATTCTTTGAATCTCTACCTTACTTGTATCTGGGTTCAAACCACATAAAATAAGAAAGGAATTGGAATATCGGATAAAGGATTTGTCGAATTTATACCTTATATATCAGTAATGCCTTTCTTTTGGTACTGTTGGTATCTTCTGTCAAATAGTCGCAAAATTATCACATGAGATTAAAGGGGAAAAAAAAATCACACGGGTGATGTAAACTTTTATGGTATTTCATTCCTAACTTTCACATATTCACGGTAACGTGTTAGCCTGTGGATACCTTTAAATCGCATGCACTTCTTTTTGCGGTAAATATCACATGCAATTTTTACCGAACATTGTAAAAATTATCTACACTAAAGTATAAGAATTTCACCAAGAATCAGAAGTTATGAGTTATTGCAAGAAATTCTGGTTGCACCATATAAATCGTCTCATCAATGATGTCATTAAGAAACGCCGTCTTGACATCCATTTGATGAAGCTCCAAATCATAATGTGCTACAAGAGTCATGATTGTCCTAAAAGAGTCTTTCGATGAAACTGGAGAGAAAGTCTCTTTAAAATCAATCCCTTCCTTTTAGGTATAGCCCTTAGCTACCAGACGAGCCTTATACCTTTCCACATTACCTTTAGAATCCCGTTTGGTCTTAAATATTCACTTGCAACCAATGGGTCGCATACCTTCCGGTAATGGGACAAGTTCTCAAACCTTATTGTCTTGCATGGACTTATACTCCTCCTTCATTGCTTCGATCCACTTTTCAGAGTTAGAACCTTGCATGGCTTGACGAAAGTTAACTGGGTCATCTTCCATCATACCATTATTTTACTCATGTTCCTGAAGAAATACCATGT